TGTCTAACACCGGAGCATTTTGGAAACATTAATGCATTTGAGTAAATACCAGATGACTGGGAGCCCTGCCTGTTAATGCCACTCTTAGTGTGAGATAGAATGGCAGTGTTGTCAGATGGATTAGCAACAAACAATATTAGCAATTATCATCTAGTTACTGAGTTTTGGCAGATAAAGTACATTTAGTTAATGCAATCAGAGAAGGAAAGATGTGCATTTTCCTCGCTCTGAGTAATTTTTCTCCACTTTTCTATTAACTTAAAAATTCTTCTCTTGAAATTGCCAGGGACTTTGAACATTAAGTGATTACCAGTGGTTTCATTTTTGAATAGTGACTAAAACACTGTCGTGCTTGTAGAATGTAGATATTCTATTAAAAGAGCCACAGGTGCCAAGAAAATCTATTTCATAAGATTGCTCATGGAGATTTGGCCTTGAGTATTGTCTGAACTTCAGTATGCAGCAAAAAGGTGGGAATTGAATGTAACTTTTTTTTTTTAATCTGAATGCAGGAGGAGTGACAGCAGGGAATTGTATACTGGGACTTGCACTTTCCACTTAGTCATCTCATTCTCTTAACTTTGGCACTGGAACTTGCTAAATTTAAATTATTAACAATTATTTGCTGTCAGACATCTTTTTGGTCTTCATCAAAGCATTATGAGTCTGTGGGCATGTGTCTTTTGCCATACTTGGTAGTGCCATTATTGGAAAACTTGGAATCCTTTTCTGAGTAGCACATCCAGGGAATAGGAGTCTTCTGAAAGGAAGCTGACTTCTTGTACAAAGTTTCTTGGTTTCCCATCCTATCATGCCAACAGAGGGTAAAAGATAAAAATCATCTTGGTCAGGCTAAACTATCGCTGCATACATTCTTAGGTTTAGGGCTTGCAGCAAAGTATGTTTTATTTTCCATCTTTTCTTTGGGAGACCAAACTGAGTTTTCTATTGCTTCTTCACATACTATATTTTTTAAATTTCTAGTAACTATTTTTCTTTTCTTTTTTTTTCATAGTGTCTCCATTTGGTTCACTTTTTTTTTTTTAAACTGAGCAGATAAACTTTAATTAAAGTGCTTCAACTGAGGCCTTATCAGTGCCAAGTGGAGTGGAAGGGCATCACCTGTCTTTTTCTTAGATGACATTCAAAGGAAGAGCTATTGATTTTGTCCCAGAGACAGTCTGAGTCATGGCTTTGTCAGACTGCTTTATTATCCATTGGTTAACTCGGCTCAGATATGATTTTTGGCCATTATGGCTAACACCAACATCCCAAAGGAAAATCAGAAGCTACAGTGCACCACTCACGGTAATTGCTAGGGTGACCATGGCAATCTGACAATTTCTGTAAGCATCTATCAATCCACTGTTACAATTAACTCTTACATTGGACATTGAATCATGACAAAGAGATGGGACATCATCCTAATCTTCCTTTTCTGCTCTGGGAAGTAGGATACTTGGATGAAAATCAGAAGCTGACCTAATGCATTTTGTATAGGAGGAGGAAGCATCTGTAAGAAAGACAGAGATTAAAACCACCTCAGCTGGACTGTGATTGGTGCTGATTTCTTTTCTTTTCCATTAGATCTCCTAAGGCAAATATATAAGCTTGTTTGTGCTTTGGGAAAATGAAATTAAGCAAGGTTTTATTGATTGTGAAGTGCTTCATCTGGGAAGAGCTTCAGAACATAGTTGAGAGGCTGCGTGTTGGCTGTGGTATTCAGAAGGTCTGCAGTGCAGTACCTGTGTGTGGGGACAAGATCATTTATGCTCGTTGTGTGGGCATATTGTCTGTGCATTCTGTCACACTGACAAGAGCTTGGGAGTTTCTGGTGTATTTATGGCGTTCCTCAAGTTCTCAGGTGACCCCTTACGTGTGGCTGTGTATGGACATAGCAGGAAAAAATGCTGCACAGCTTTTCTAGTATAAGGTGGGTGGACAATATAAAGTTAATAAAATCTGCTTCCATCTTTGTCTTCTTTGAAACTCAGTATCTGGAAGGATAACACCACATTCTAATTTATATTCCCTGATATTATTTTGGGCTTTTGGAAGAAAATTGCTGGTTGGAATCTCAGGCCACAACATAAAGGTCTAACTGCATTTCTGTTGAGCATCTGGGCCCGTGCTTGCTATTCCATAAAAATGTTGTTTGTGGCATCTCTTAGAAGGGTTTGGAAACTGGGAGCTTTTCCACCATGTGTTCCATTCATACAGTATTTCCATTAAGCCGTGTGCAAGTTTTTTTCTCAATTCACTTGAGATTCCTATCATACAAAATAACCTGTTAACTGTGTTTTTCCATTATGGAGATTTTTCTTGGTAGATCTCAGAAGAACCCTGCCTTTCTGTTTACACAGGACTAAGCCCTTTAATGGCTGTCTTTGCTGAACAGCAAAGAGCAGTGTATTCTAGACACAAAAGCCCTTCAAGTGGAGGTTGTGCTGTCCACTTCTGTAGTGATCTCTGTCAACGCTTGGACAACATTAAACTCAATACAATGGTGATGTACTACTTCATTTTAGACGTAACTGTGGCAGCAGAAGTGGGGTTTTGTTAGTCCTTTCTCCTGCATTCTGTGCACATCAGCCCTCTCTTTCCATCAGTGCTTCAGCCTTGTGCGCATTCACAAACTGGTTCGTGTGGAAGCCCACAGGAAGAGATGCCTGGAAAATGGGAGATAAGCTACAAGTTAGTGCCTGGATCACCTTGTTACTTGCCCCTTTCTTTCCCAGTTGGGTGTGGAGTGTTTTGTGTGGGTGGAACTGAAGGAGATGTCCTGTTTCCATGGAGGTGTCAGTTCATGAGCACAGTTACCAAATACACACAGACTGAGCCAACAGTGCTGACAAAGTCACCATTATTAAACTTCTTGTTTCCTGCTGTCCTTGGAGATTGGTGACGTGGACATTCCATGTTCACAGAGGCATTCTGTAATGTAGCGCTTTCATAAACCGAACTAGAATTTTGCATAGGCACAGTCTCAAGATACTCATGTGAGACCCAGTATGTAATTTAGGATTACCTAACTGTGTGTTTTATCTGTCTGAGTTACTGTGATTGTCCCATTTATTGTGTAACATAAAATGGAATTTAATACTGAGGTACCAAATGGCAGTCACATGAATTAACAAGAGCCATGTAAGCTCTGAATTAATTCCTGGCTTAGTGCAAGGGAAGTATCACAGTGGTATTTCTGAAGATGGAGCAAATCTACTGCTTTCACATCATGCATTTCTAATATTCTTGTATTACATTCTCTTGAGAGACAAAGCAGACTGTAGATCTGTATAGGAAAGGAAATTCAATACCAACACTTATATGAAAGCTTTTAAGAAGTGTTTAAACTTTAAAGCTCTAAACAAGCTATATTTTTAAATTATATTTTATGGTATTACCCTTTGTACCATAAATTAAATTTTATATTTATATTATTTTGTCTGAAAAAAAGCAATATACCCTTTGATATTTGTGGTATAGATGGGAATAGTAACAAAGCACATAACTGCTCCCTCTCTAAGTCTTGACATTACTGTCTTCTAGCTTGATCTGAACCCTTATTCATGTCTGTCACCCTTTGGTTTTAGGACCAATCCTACTTACTTTAGCACAGTATTTTCTCCTTTATCTCTGCCCTTTCTGCTAATGTTTTGGTGTTTTGTTGTTTGTTTGTTTCCCATTATGATATATTCGAGTATCAAAAAATGGTTTGTTAAGCACATATACAACTTTACTATTGCCATTTGAAAAATGTTGAGGAAAATTATGTGTTCAGAAAGACAAAGGGGCGATAATTTATTTTAGAAGAAGAATTTTATAATTCTCTTTTGAGTGGCACCCTTCTCCATTTGTCTGCCTTTTCATTTCTCATCATGTCAACCCAAGAGTTGCTTCCATAGGTCTCTAAGCAACCATTTTCTCCTGGTGCTTTCCTCTAGAGAAATCTTTGCTCTTTTTCAGTGTTTCAGATTTTCATGGAAGACTTAGAAATGCTCATGTCATGGCATATAAACCAAGAGTTGTATGCAGCAATACAGCAAGTATATTACTATAAATAAGAAGAAATATGCCGGGGTTTGGAAGTTATTAACTCACTTGTCTACCATTGGTTTCTGTGTTGCCATAGTTATTATAATGTCTCCTTGCATTGGCTAGCCAAGTGGCCAATCCCATCCTTGGCCCAGCAGCCCTTATAAGCTGCAGGAAATTTGAATAAATTTCTTCTTCTTTGCTGCTGGATTCCCTGCGTGGTCTCTGTCTCCTGGCTTAAGTACCTCCGCTGCCTGTCCCTGCCACGAGGGACGGGCAGCGGGGGGGTGATTCCAACCCTGAAAACCTTCACAGAGCGGCTGGCAGTGACCCCCCAGGAACCCCTCGAACTGCAACAGAAATATAAATTGTGTGGAAGATATGTAAGAAGTATATATTTTGTAAAGGTGATGAATATTGCAAAAATTTAATTATTAGTAGCGTAATTTTAACACCAGGCAAAAATACATCTTTTTCTATTCACGTAAGAGTTTGATTTAGCATGAACATCCTAACACATTGATGTTAAAGAAGTTAGTTTAGTTGTTGGGGCAACTGTTTGTCATTGGAGACTCATTGCTTTATGGAAACTGTTGTCACAGTGGCTTAAGAGGGTTTCAAAAATAAAGTAGCAGCCTTAGTACTTAGAAATTTTCCTTCATTCTGCAAATATTCACTTCATATGTAAGGGTTTGTGGTTCTCCTATCTTTGTAACACTTTCTACCCCATTATATTCTTGTTGCTATTGCTTATAGGAGAGTATTTCTGCACCTTTGAATGCTAGGAATCAATAAATTGCTGTAAGAATTTCACGAAAGCTCAGTGGAGGTTTCCTACTGTAGGTTTTTCAGCCGAGTTGTGTTGGCCTTTCAATGGGGGAATGCAAAAACGCAGTCAGCTCTGTGTCTAAACGGTGTGTGATCGTGGGAGAGGTGCCACCCTGAGAGCAGTGTTGTTCTGTTTGCAGAAAGCCACATTCTCGAGGATGTGAACAAGTGCATCATTGCCTTGAGGGAGCAGGATGGGGATGGTTTGGATCGTGCCGCAGGTGCCATCCGAGGACGCGCTTCCAGAGTCGCTCACGTTGTTTCGGGCGAGATGGACAATTATGAACCAGGAGCTTACACTGAAGGGGTGATGGCAAATGTTCAGGATCTGACCAAGAATGGTAAGTCTGATTTCTACAGTTTTTACAGTGCTGTAACCTTTCCCTTGTATGCCACACTTAAAGTGAATCCTGTGGTTCTCTGATGTGCTGCACTGTCTTGGCCTGAAGGAGGAGTAATCCAAATGGCCTTACCTAACATACCTCTTAGATGGATCGCTGGAACTTTGTCTCCATCTACAGTGTGGAAAGATTCTGCTTGGGCAGGACCAGCTCGATTGACAGAGCCTCTAGTGTTGACTAGCCAGGTGGCCTTGGCTAAGTGCTTATCTCAATTTTTGTAAGTTCCCTCACCTAGTGCCTTTAGAGTTGTCTTCAACAGTCCATTACATCTTTCTACTTTTTCTGCAGTGGGTGCATGATATGGAATGTGATATACCCACTCAAAGAACGCCCAGCAAAAAGAGGTTTCATGGAACAGTGGAAGTGTGACCAAGTTCATTGGCAAGGTTCATACATGCTGCTTCATACATGGTTAAAGCACACACAGAAAAAGCAAACTAAAAGAGAAAATCAATCATTGTAAAACCAAAACCAACCAAAAATTATCCACCTGGAAGAGAGAAGAGAGTGAACTCTCTAATCTGCACCTTTTTATATATTGTGTTATGGAAAGTAATGATATGGAATACTTCCATAGATTCCTGACCCTGTTGCTAAAGGAAGGCTTGATAATCCAAGAAACGAACTCACTACATTCACTAACGATTCACTCTGTGGTCTCTACTCTCCTGTCAGCATCTTGTTCAATCCGGTGATGCCATTCAATTCAAAACTAATTTTTAATTTTTTTTTTTATTTTTTTTATTTACATGGTCTGCTTAAGGTTGTTTAAATTATGGAAGACTTTTCCTGGAGTTGTCAATTCAAGTAACAACGTTTGGAGACTTGTAACTAATGAAGCAGCAGATTTTCACTTTGTTGCAGTGGCCTCACACACTTGTTCTCAACAGATGAAAGGCAAACTCAGACAAAGAGAAGCAAGTGCATGACTTGTGTCTACTTCCACTTTAAAGACTATTGGGAAGTGGTCAGATATCCCAAAATATCTTCAGTTCTGCTAAACAAATTTAAAACTACCTGAAATGGTTTGTAGACTCCATTTACTTTTTCATAATATTAAAAAAGTGGGTATCATATCTTGGAAAATACCTGTGCTGGTCACAGGGGTGTAACTGTATTGTACTATAGATAGTTCCTGTTATTTACATAAATGAATCTTTGGCCTTTCATAGTGTATGCTTACTAATAATAATAAAAAGAAATTACCTGTGGAGCTCCCAAGACTTCCATGTTTTCAGTGGTTTCAGTGATTGGGCAGTTAAACTGCTCTTAAAAAAGTCTGTACCTCCCTGAAGTATAGGATTTAGCTTCATGAACTCAGAAGTCTAAATCCTAGCTCTCTCAGTCTAAACAAATGTCTGGTACCTTACATTTGACTGACATTTGCTTTATTTTACCTCCACAAAAGACAGAAATGTTGTTTGAGCTCTTTCTTAATAAGTTCAAGTATGTCCAGGGCAGAAGTGTCTTCATGTGAAGAAGAGTAAAACTGACATTGCAGGGAAGTGGCTAAAGGGACAGAATAGTGAGAAGAGTTTGAAATAGACTTGCCTGTTTTTATTTTCTGATATTTTGATGAGAAAATCTGAACATTTTCACCATTACATTAATTTTTCATGACTTCTGGAAGTACTCTGACAACTACCAAGGGAAGCAGCATAGAAAAGCATAGTTTTGATTATCTTGTAAAAGCTGAGCCCATCTTTCTTGAAACCAATAGTGTTTCAAGACATTAGGAGTTGACACTGACTTCTGTTCTGTTGCCTTGCTTCAGCAGTAATATATATAATGTACCTAAACCTGTCTGTCTACATAAGACAGGGAGACATAAAACTGGTTTTGGTTGGAATGCTTGCCTATGTCAAGGGACATCAAGCGTGTGACATCTCAAATGACTTTGCAGTACTTCAAACTGAAGAATCCACTGTCTTTATGTTGTTCAATAGGAGCAGAAAAAACAAACGTGTACCTTTCATTTTCACCTGTGTTTATATGATCTGGAATGATAAGACAGCAAGTCAGGTGAGGGCTTTTTGGTTTTGATGGCCTTATTTCATTGGTTTGCTGTAACTTTTTCAACTGACAGGTAAAATGCAGGTAGGTTGCAGCCCTGAGGTGTAACCTCAACTATTCTGTCACAGCTGAGTCTTTCATGTGCCAGCTGATTGCAAGGTGACACTTCACCAGGACAGAGCTGTGCCATCACCTCCTCAGTGAGCTTACATAAGTAACCTGGGGCAGTGAAGTGCATCCTTCATGCCTAGTAAAAAGGTGAAGTGTTACTGAAGAGAAATTATTGCAGGCAGAGTATAGAATTACTGAAAACGAAATTACAGACTAGTAGCAGACACGGAAATAGCAGAGAAATTAAAACAAAAATGAAAGAGAGAATGAGAGCAGAAATAAGAAGGATGCAAATTGGAGGTAACAGGAAAGAGAGAATGTGCATAAAGAGGAGCAGATACATTTACTGTTTGTTAAAACAAAGATCGAGGTTAAATTGTAGAACATATGTTGAGGTAATTTATAAGGAAAGAAAGAGGTTTAATTCTCTGCATTGCAGTATGAAATAAAAGAGCATAAGATCACTGAATCTGTCTCTTCAGATGGATGGCATCAGACATATTTGAGATAAAGTGAGCTATTCAACAGTAATATCATAATACTGCTGTACCATAAGTATTTAAAGCTGAAGCTTAATTTCCTAGTTGTGTAGTCCTGTTTACATATGAGCTGTTAACAGCCAAATGGATCTCTACAGCACCATACAATGGAGTGTCTGCTTTCTCAGGCTTATTTATGCTGTTCCTCCATTTTACCCCTTCCCTTTCCCTGAACAAGAAGACAGACCCCAAGCCAACTAACAACAAGGCTCTGCAAAAGCACCGTTTAAGGTGTGGAGTTGAGCTTTCAGAAGCTGGATAATACCAGAAGTGGAGTTTGCAGCCTTCATTTTCCTTGATTTGCATTCTGTGTACATGATGTGCATTATGACATTGTGGTTATGTGATCACACACAGTTATGTTACAAGCCAGCTGCTTTATTCAGGTCACTGGATGGACCTGCTTTAGACGTATGCTGGGGTCACATTTTAGAGGAGGAGGCTGGTGTCCACAGGCTAAATTTGGAAAGTAATGAGGCAGAAGACTGCAGGAAGAGAATATATGATCTCATATTAAGGATAGTTATGGATGGACTTGATGATCTTGGTCTTTTTAAACCTAAATGATTCTCTGATTCTGCAGTTCATTGGCACTGCCCAGGTCTGTACAGAGTTCCTGCATGGTGCTGAGTTCGTGAGGCTACAGCTCATTGTAGGATGCAGGGGTGCCCCCAGCTCCTGCTCTGAGTGAGCACCACGCTGGCAGTGTCCTTGTTCTACAGCACCATGAGACTGGGACATACTCTGTCCCTTCTTGGTCTCAGGTTTTGGTGGGAAGAGGGAGTGGGTAGGAGAGAGAGTAGCAGAGCATTCCAGCCACATCCCTGGTCTAGGCATCTGGAAGTCAGCCTTGACAGTCATGCCCTGGAAATGTTGCCCCAGGGTTTTGTCACGGGTGAGAGTGGAAGGCTTAGACAAAATTTATTAAACAAGCCCTGCCATTGAGTCCCAAGGTGCAGAAAGGATTCCTTTGTTTTCTAAACCCCTTCTCAGAGAGGAATCCAATCTTAGCCTTGGATTATGTCAATGGTTTAAATTTAAGGGATTACAGAGGTGTGATTGAATCACCTTTGTCCCGCAGGTTTAAACGACTGGCAAAATGAGAATAATTATATAAAATGAATAATTTATTACTACAGATGACCAGACAAAAGGTCTTAATCACAATTATTTACTACACAATACAAAAACTAAAACTACCAGTATAGCATAAGATAGTGTACTATATTGAAACAAGTATACAAACAATTATATTAAAGCTAGCAAAAAAGAAAATAGAAAAGTAGAGATGTGATGTGACTCACCCAGACCAACACTCGTGGAGAGATCTCTTTCTCTCAGCCTTGAGGACTGTCCTTGGAGAGCGTCCCCAGCCAAGGAAGGAATCTCCACACATACAACCCAAGAGGGTTATGTTAGAAGAACCTGACTGCATGAGAGGAGACTGGACTTTTGTGGTATAAAGTGACTGACTGCTAGTCACATATTTACAGGCCAGCTATCAGCTTATCTAATTCCAAGTCTGGTGAACCAGGATGGTTTTACTGAAACAACACCCTGGCACCAGCAGTTGATCTTGCATGATAGCTTGATAGAATGCATGAGGGCTTTGCATTGTATGGATTCTCTGACTGGATTTTAGATCTTATCAGGGTGAGTCTGTCATGCCACAAGTCTGTATGAAACCTTTACTGACCACTGGAGAAAACAGTGTTCAGTCCTGTGGTCTGTATATACTCTGTGAAGTCACTGGGTTTAAACCAGCATTTCCTATTTCATTTTACAAGTGCAAAGGTAGTGGAGCTTGAGGCTGTATTCTGGTCCGGTTAAGACTGTGAAAACATTAATACTGATACCTCGCTGCCATTCCTAATGTCTGACACTGTTGATTAGATTGAAATAGATTGTTGCATTTTGGTGGGGTTGGTGTACTGCTGCATGACAGCAAAATGAAACCTTTAGAAACACTGTTTATAAAACCCTAAGGTATTTCCACTTAAAAACTGGAAGGGTAACCTTGTACTGCGTTTTTAAATATCAGTCTACTCTGCTATTTTACTGCCTGCCAGAATCCGCAGCGGTTAAATTTAAGTCAGCAATTTACATTATGGCAGGTATCTGTTGATATAAGTAAAATGCCTGTATTGTAAATTTGATCTGCAGTTGTGCTTTCATGCCAAAGTATAATGATATAAACATATGTGTAAACACACATATAAATCTTTAGTTATTGAGATCTAAAGATCTAGTAAAAAACAAGGAAAAGGGTGGAGACAA